GAGAGAGAGAGAGGAGCGAGCCAGTGAGCGAAGGAGGGTCCGATGGGCTGGTACCCACCCGGCTGGAGGTGGCACAAGGAGGTGGGACTCTTCGTCTCGTTCTCCACTTTCAGTGGCAAGGCAGTCACAACTCGACCGCTCTGAGAGCCGGGCTGCCCGGCCACCGCTCGACCGCACACTTTCCTGCCGCGTGTATCAACGTGTGCGCGCATACGACCACTCGCGCGTCTCGATCGCTGCCACCTGCGGAATAACACGCGCGGAAATTGTGGTACGTGCGTTCTCCATGTCGCGGCCTGTGAAAGGATACACCTCCGCAGTGCATTGTTGAGACACGTGCGAAAGTGTGCGTAACTGACAGGGAGATTGTACGACGATGATGTTGGAAAAATATGTTTCCGCGTGATAGAACATTGGTTCCGCGGACAGAACACCGACTGGCAATAATTTAGGCACGTGCATTCTTTCGTGCTAATTGTGTCACGTGTGCATGTGTGTGCGTTTGTTTCTGATAACTTGCCCTGCTCGCCGTACTGCCGCCGAGAACTCCACGAGTGTAACATTTCGAGGTAACAATCGTAAGAACAACTATACAACAGCGAAACTAAACGCACAGTTGTCGAAAAGTTCAATCTCCATTTTGTATACTCAGCATGGTGTTAGTGGGGGTTGCTACGGATCCCGGGGTCCCGAATCGGAGCTTCATCTTAAAACTATAAAAGGTTATTATTAGATGATCAAATATAGAATCATAAAAAAAAAATAGAAAATCGTACATGAATAAGCAATGAGGATCCATGATATTAAAAGGGAAAGGTAGAACATTTTTAACGAATAAACTAAAAATTAAAATTAATAGAAGAAATTTAAAAAACAGCAGAATCATATGAAATAAAAAAAAATGTTATACCTGGTTTAATAAAGTTATACATGATCTGTAAAAATATCAATTTTTCTCTCAATTTTGCATACAAAATATAATAGATGGATTGTCTCATAATTTTGTTTAAACAATGAAAATTTATAATTGCGCTATTATAATATATTTAAATATTTCACAGAGTTTATTCCGAAGCTAATATCACACACAAGCAAGTTTGTCTTTAGCATTAACTTTATTTACGCTCCTTATCATTTTCTTCGTTGGCCTTGTTGTCGATTTCGATTGGTTTAATTACGGTGCGAATCTAGATTTATTAAAAACAAAATTTGTACACATAATGTATACCAAAGAAACTGAAAAAAGAAGAAACACCCGGCGTTAGGGAAATGGGATTTGTATAGGTTTCAGGTATTCTTTTCAGGTATCTTTTCTTATGTGATTTTGACATTCATAATGACGTACAAAGATTAAACGAATATGAGCAGCATAGGCAGTTGTGTGTTTACGAATTTTTCACAATTTATAATATTTTGAGGCTTATATGGAAATTTTATTAAATAACTGTGAAATTATTTAATATTGATAAAAACAAGGAATGATAAAATTATCTGTATAAATTTCTTCGACATCTATTAATCATTATTTATTATTCAATAAATATTTAACATTTAATAAATATTATTTATTGTTTTATAAATATGAATATATGAATATATTTGATATATAAATTTTTATTATATGTAGATGATATGAATTATTATTAATCCGATATTAAATTATAAAAATATTTTTGTATATTGGACGATAATATATTTTTATTTGATTACAACGCAGTCCGAAGAATCCGATATCATTTAAACTTGAATCAACATTTTATGCAACACAATTATATAATTTTACGTAATTTATATTTGTAATCTTATTTGTAATCTTCGAAATGAAGAAAAAAATCAGCGGGCATGGAACCCGATGAAATTTTGAAGAATCACATCAGGAAAAAAGAAATATACATATATAATTTTTTATAATGTAAATATGGAAACGAGATATAATTTATGTTTATTTTTAATGTATATTGTAACATTAAAAAAAAATGTAAAAAAACCATTATTTTATTTTCTGGGAAATATGTACATAATACATTAATGCCATTTTTCTTTAAATGAATTTCAATTAACAGTGTAAGCTTCAATGATAAAAATATCGAATGCTGAAGATTAATTTCAATATGTTAAATATTTTAATAAGACACAATTATTTAAAGATTACAAGAAATTTTAAAACTGGTTTGTAATGATAACATATATAGCTTATAAATTATTTATGTGGCTAATTATTGATATTAATCATCGTATTTGATTTGATCATTTTCGATAGCTGTAGAAAGTTTTAAAAAATATACGCATGATAGATTTTAAATGGTAATATTTACGAATAAATCTGTTTAATAAATGTTTGCACATATGTTCAAAGTGGATACGAAAGTATTAAAAGTTCTGAAAAATTATAGTGTTTGCCCATTTGCGACATCTAAGAAACCTTCGCACAAATCATGGATATCAATCCATGGACATTAATAGCATTGAAAGGCACGTTTGAAAATAAATATAGAAACTCAAACAATGTAGTGAATTTTCCGTTAGATCTCTCGTACAAGGATTTCGATGGACAAGAAGGCTAGATCATAGGGGAGGGGGCGACTAGTTAGGACAACAAGAAGCAGCGCGTCTCGCATCGGAACAAGCGGCTCTCCCGAAAATAGAAAGCAAGGAAAGGG